CACCCAAAAATCACTAGTTATGTTTGAGAACGATGTGGGTGAGGTAATATCTTCTATTGGACAAATCTGTGTTGATGAGCGAGACATGCTGTCAATCTTAGGCAGAGCTCTTCTTCAGGTTTTTCCAGTTAAGAAGTGTTTCTCAAGCTTTTTGATACAAAGGACTGGCTTGCTGCCTTCCTAAACTGTGTCAGGGAGATCTCCGGGACTGGCATGAGTCCACGGTCTGGCTGTTGGGAAACACTGTAGTAAAAGATATTACCTCACCCACCTTGTCTTGCTAATATCCTGGGACCAACGCAGCTACAGCACCACTGCATAGTCACATTTGAAAATTTAGGTGATAAAAGTATTGTGTTCTTGGAGAAGTTGAATGTTGACAATGGGAGTTACTGAAGTGCAGATTCTGTCTTAAGTCTTTACCTGATATATGTTCATGCTTATTTTTTTCATTCCCTTCCCTCATGGAAATATCCACAGTTAAATTAGGATAAACCCACCCAGGAAAATAAACCTTCATGCCAACCGCTATCTAATAGGGTTAGAAAAAAACTTCCCCTCTGTCCTAGAATTGTCTAGAATAGTGATTCTAGCACTTATCTCTCAATCATCTAATACAGACCATTGCCAAAGACAGAATACCAGGTTAGATGGACTGCTGGTCTGATCTGGTATGACATTTCCTATGCAACACAGTAGCTTAGTCAAAAGAACTGGAGCACCTTCATGGGCATGTATGTGAAGACAGTGAGGAAGCTGCAACATTACAGGAACATGCTGCACTTGTCTAATTTCCTTTTCCTTTTCCTTAGATGAAAGGATTGACTGGATTAATACAATGCTCGGCGCCTTGAAATCACAGTCCAATACCTCTCAAACTCGAACTGCTATCACTCCTGAGAAAAGTGGATACCTTGAACTAAAAGGATACAAAACCAAAATCTTTACTTTACTTCTGGGGAACAATGTGTGGCTCTGCAAAAATGAACAGGTAAATGTTGTCATACATTTTTGTGAAATAATTCGTGTAAAAATGATTAAACTAGTGAGTTAGAAAATTATGCCACTTATTGGATGGTCACATTTTAGCTCTGTGTTATCACACAGCATTGTTGTAGTTCTGAAAGGGCTTTTAAAAGCAAAATGTGTGTCACCACCTCCATTGTACAACAGGGAAAAACAAACTAGTGATAAGCTCCGGATATCTTTATAGGTCAGTGGGAGAGATGGGGTTAATTTAGTAGATTGCTTACAATATACACATGTAGAGTAATCATAAAGACCGAGGATGTATTGTATGCAATGGCTTAGTTATTCGGACTTTTAAACAGTACAGTATGAATAGTATGTACTTTTGATTATCTGTAGTATTTAAATGGTATCTCCACTAAATTTTAAAGAAATGTCTGTATTTTAAGAAGTTTGACTTCATCAATGTTGCTCATGGTGCACTACAAAAATTTTAAATAAACAATATAAAATAACAAAATAGTAACTTGACACTTTAATTCCGCTCATAAAATCCAGTGATTTATCCACAAATATTTCCTAGCATAATAATAATACGGAAAAATGGAGTTCCCATGTCACACAGAGATCTTGCTAGCTGGAATTGTTAGGAAAGTCCCAAGTGGCAGGGGGAAACGCAGACAAACAAGTTTTTGTTGTTGCTGTTTTGGTTTTTCCCCCCTTCCTCCCTGCAGCCCCTACTCCCAGGGTGGTGCCTTTGTACTGTTACAATCTGACTCTTTTGTTCTTTCAATCCCTCCACACCCCTCTTTCACTTTGGTAATGCATGCTAACCCAGACATGGTGTCAGAGCAAGCCTCATATGCAAAGACTTGAGAGAGATACAAAACCTGCTCTTTTTCCACTCAAGTTTCCATGTTTCAAATAGGAATCGGGACAGTCAATAAGGTTGGTCCGTCTGTAATTTACCCTCATTGCCTTCAACTTGGTCTTCTCCTCTGTGAAGCTACCAAGATTTGTGCTGGGGCCTATCACGTGTTTGGGATTAGGTCCCACCATTCTTTCCCAGGATATGGCTGCCCACTGAGAGTCGCGAAGGAATTTCCCTCTCTAGACCCATGTGCAGTGCTTGAGGGTGTGTGTATGTAAGGAAGTCTGAGACTCACCAGATGCATTTTGTGTGGTTGGATATCAAAACTAATTGATTTGTGCACAAATTGTGGCCCAGTTCATTTGTTTTTTATCATTACCTTACTTAGGCTTATCCCAGTGCTAAACCATATTGTGGCTGAGATAATGAGTGGTAGCTACATCTTATTTTTAAGTTTGATATTTATTTTCGCTAGAGGGAAGGTTTGTCCTAAAGGGTGCCCAGAAGAGGAAAGAGTCTTGTTAGGTGCCCTGTGGGGGCATTTAGGGCCTCCATCATGATTCAGTCATGACCACAGTAGCTAGTTAGGTGCCCTGTAACTTGATATATTTATTTAAAAAAAGGTTAAGGCCAGTGGTCTGTTAAATACAAAAATTAGTCAGTCTACCAAGTAGCAATGGAAATGTATTTCATCTTGATTGTCTTCATTTCCCCCAGCAGAAAAGATGTTTTAGGTCCCAATCCTGCAACTTCTTTTTCATACCCATGATCTTCAGGGTGGTTCCATGTGGGTATGAGGTCTGCCTGAATGAAACAAGTTGCAGGACTGGGGCCTCTCATGAATCCTGTGCCCGTCTACAAAGGTAATAGTCCAAGCAATGTCTTTGGCTAAAGCAACAGCAACACCAGCTGTTGAGAAACTATATTTTTTCATATTCCAGTTTTCAGTCAAATACCTACTGTATTGTCATCAACCTAATATCCTGTTTTGTTATCCAGATAATGTTGGGGGCATGTCTTTCAGAGTGAGTGGCATTGGTATTCTACTAGCCTCTTCCCCCAAGCTTTTAAGTGAAAAGTGAGGATAAGCCATCACTACATTGAAATGAGGAACAAATAGAAGTTTAGAGCCATCATCACTTATACCTCCAGGATAAACTGTTACTTAGAATTAAAACATTAAGCAGTTTTCAAAATGCTTGTGACTGTAGCTCTGCCTTTTATTTGGAACTGAGTTGTTTTTACTAAAGAGAAACAGCCAAACTTTTAAAAAAGTATCTAACTTTTAACCTTCAAGCACAAAGCTGCTGATACATTTACAAAGGGAAATTGTACAAATTTGAGGCCAGACTTTGAAAATTGTGCAGCCCCCACAATTTGGGTCAGATTTTTGAAGTGTTCAGGATTCAGTGGCTCACACTGAGAACAGCGGAAGCTCTGGGTTGCTGAACTCTTTTGAAAATCTGGTCCTAGATGTTGTGACCTGTTTGCATCTGCAGTTGATTATGCCAGCAACACTGGAGTCCTGGTTTGATCCCCCTTCTACAACTTGTTCTTCAGTAGTTTTCTATTAAGGATAGGAGAATATACAAAGCCGCAAAACCCTCTGTTAAATTTATTTAGAATATCGAGAGTGAGTCTTCAGAAAACATTTTTCTAGCCATTATGTTTTATTCATGCTCTAGCTTACTGTTCTTTTGGGTGGTTTTTTCCCCCCGTTTGTGGCTATAATATTCTTTTTCAGACTTCTTTTAAATCACCTCATTTTCCCAGATTTTTTTTATGTTGTTTCTTTGCTTGACTGATTTTTTTATGCTTTTTTTTCTTCCATCTTTTCTCATTCCTTCTGATGTTTACTACATTCTCTTACTTATATAGGAAAGAAAGAATGAGAGATTAAATAACTTACTTTTATTTTTTTCTTCTCTTGTTTTTTTGCCATCAGCCAAAAGTCATTTGAAATAGTGCGAAAACAAGTTGTTGTGCTGTTTCTTTTTCTTATTATATTTTTCAGTGGCAAGACAGTTCCCTCTCTTGCATCACAGGGAAGGAAATTGTTTTAAGGAATGGAGTGAGTGTGGGGATTCCATGAGTATAGTGCATCATATACAAGAATAAGGAAAATAAATGACTTAACTAGAAGAAGTTAAATGGTTGGATGGAACATGGCTATCTTCATCTGGAGCTCCTTGGTGTCACAAGCTGACTCAATCTTCCTCTGACAGGACACCAATCTGTTGAGTTGGATCTAAATGCTGGATTCCATGTGTTTCTAAGCCCCTGAATCTGGATAGTGATTTGTCACTGTTCCTAGATCTGGGTCTCTCAGGCATACTCCCAGATGCAGATCCTACATTTGAAACCTTGGGCAGTAAATTCCCCCCACAGCCTAGCCACCTTAGATCTTGGAACCAGTGCAACAACCCTCCTTAGCCTGCAGTTGCTTATAGACTGAGTTCCATATCACCTTGGGTGCCTTGAGCTTTGCAATTAAAGCTTTCAGGGACATTTGAGCAGATAAGCAAAGAATACTGGCCTAGCAAGGGAATTGCTCAACATCAGGCTTTCTACTCTTAAATAGCACTAAAACATACAGATTGTTGAAAAACAACAAACAGTCCTGCATACTCTTCCTCTGACTCTGATATCACCCCTCCTGTGAGTCCTGGATTTCTTCAGTGTTCATAGTCACTAGGCAGCCATTTTTGCCTTTTCCCTCCTTAGCCTGCTCTACTTGCATGTGGTGGTGGATGGAAGCTTACCTCAGTCTCTGTCACCCTTTTGCCCATGTGCTTCAGGCCAGTGATTCTGGGCACTTACTCCCACCCCCACAGGGCTGGCTCCAGCTTTTTTGCCACCCCAAGCGGCGAAGAAAAAAAAAAAAGGAAAACCCGATTGAGCTGCTGCCAAAGGGCCGCCGAAGAGGAAGAGAGGAACTGAAGGACTTGCCGCCGAAGACAGAGACGTGCCACCCCAATAACGGATGGAGTGCCGCCCCTTTCTATTGGCTGCCCCAGGCACCTGCTTCCTTTGCTGGTGCCTGGAGCCGGCCCTGCGCCCCCAGCTGGCTTCAGTGTAGAGTCATTACAAGTTATTGGCCTTACTGATAGCAAACTTGTTGCTCCAGTAGGAGAGTGTCATTGAACACTGTGGTTGCATCATAGCTTCTCAGCCATAGTCTTTCTTCCACTAGGCATCAAGCCCCTGCGGCAAAATTGATGCTCTAATCCACAAAGGAAGCTGCAATACAAAGTAGAGCCTCTGAAACAAAATGGGGTTTACAAAACAAAATGACAAAATTTAACACAGAAGCAAACATGTCCTCAATCTGTCACATGCACTCTAGTATTCCTGAGTCCAGAATTAAGAAAAAGCTTGGGAAATATGCAGTGCAAAAACAGGTTGGGCATATGGCCTATTTCAGTCATTTTAGTTATTAAGAATTTAATGTGAAGAAAGTCTTTTGTAGTTGCTTTGAAAGACTGTCCCTCTATTCTAATGTTTCTTGGGTATTTGGAAATCAAGAAGGATGGCTTCCCTCTTTAAACATACTACTTTTCTTTTTTGTACTTCTTCCTTTACAGGTAATCCTTCCATTTTGATTTAGTTTGAAGTTCAAACACAAGTGATTCTTCATTACTTTTCTTGCAGCATTTAATTGAAGAGGAAAATAAATAATACAGCTTTGAAACCAGTAGAGTGCTCTAGTGTTCTAAAAATCTGTCTCTTTTGAAAGAGAGAGTATTTTACCCAATAATTACCAGGCAAATATGCTCAGGGATGTCCTCGTATCCTAGAATTCACATCCATACTAGAACTACATCCACAGTGACTTACAGGGGTTTATTATAACTGCAGTGCTAAAAGAAGCTATTTAGACATCTTACTATCTTGAAATGAGAGCAGATCTAGCTGATTTATTGATTTCTACTAAACTTGATAGAGAAAAGTTCAGTGGCACTTTACAGGATTTTTCCTTGTTTTTTAAAAGTAGAGAACAGTCTGAGCCAAAATGCCAGATCCTAACATAACCATCATGAACTTCGTGAAGTTCAGATTGAGATCAGAACTTCATGTCTCAGGTCTATTTCTCATTAAAAAGTGATTGGTTTAGCTAGAGCTTCTGGCAGTGATATACTGCTACTATGAAA